CAGGCATGCTGTTGGGCGCCTATAATCCCAGCTACTCGGGAGGCTGAGGCAGGAGAATTGCTGGAACCCAGGAGGCGGAGGTTGTGGTGAGCCGAAATCACGCCACTGCACTCCAGCCTGGGAAACAAGAGTGAACTCTAAAAAAAAAAAAAAAAAAAAAAGACACTGGCCCTAAATTCTCAAATTAGACATGATTTATTTGTTTTGAACTACTAGAGCACTTTTTGTCCTTTTCTCATAATTCATATATTATTTTATAAATATTATACACGTCAATCACCCATCAAATTTGTTATTCATGCATATATTCCCAAAATATCTGGCACCTCACTTGCAGAGGGCATTTAATATTTAATTAACTAAATGGCTAATGTGTAATCACATGTTTACTTAAGATTAATTTAATCAACTAATACATGATCAGAAATTTTAAGTTCTATGTAGAAAAGAACATAACTCAGTTCATGTTATTCAACTCAAGTACAGCTTATTTGGTAAATTCTTTCTTCCAAGCTGGCTCTCTAGATTTTTAAGGTCTTATAGATTAGTTCTAAGAGTATTAAGATAAAAAAATGGAATTCTGATGTTAAGTCAGCATGTCTAGCTGGATATTAAAAAAATAAATTTGCCCTTGGTATATTTGGCATAATTCTGATTAATTTTTAGTAGCATTTCCGTAAGTTTACAGAACATTTAAACAGTGGATCTCAATATTTTGGAGGTGGGAGGAAACATAGATCCCTTTGAAAATCTAATGATTCTCTAATTTTTAATATAATTTTATGATTTATAGATTCTTGTAACTAAGGTTCAACTTTGAACACTAGGCTACGAACATCCATCTGTCCTAAAGAACTCTGGATGTTACATTAGGAATACCGTATATATTCTATAAAGCCACTATTACAGTCAGAAGGAGAAAAGGACAAGGTGAATTTTAACAAAAGAAAGACTAGCAAAAACGTCTAGAAATTACATAGAATATTTTATAGTAGATCTATCATCTGGTGACTGAGTTAGAAACACAACGGCTTGACAAGGCTTGAGAGATCATGTCTATGTGGAGAAACTCAAAGCTCATTAACGTATTTTGCCGGGAGGAGAGCATGAAAGTACCAACGAGATATTTAATACTCTTGCTCTGATTAATCACTATGTAAAAGATGAATTTACTCAGGGATGTGAATGTGATCTAAGGTAGCCCAGCCATGGCAAAAAGACAGCCAATAAATAGAAGCCAGTGACCAGGAAAAACTGACCATGAAAGTTAGTAGAAGAAGATACATCATACTTAGACACTGTTTGTTTAAATATTTCACTGCACATATGCATTTCAAGGTCTGTAAGTAGATACTCAACTTAAACAATGCCCATGATATTAAACATATTATTACACTTCATACTTAAAGGGAAAAAGCTAATTAAGTAATTCAACCACTGTTCAAACATATCATGCATGACTCAGTCCTGTACTACTTCTACCATGTTACACTGGTTCCATTAATAACTCACTCATGCAAGTAAAAAAGTAGATGTCCTCTATAAATAAGTTAACACAGAATTAACACAGCAAAGTCACAAATAACCAGGAAAAACTACTTACGCAAAAACTGGTCTAACAGCATTATTCATATTCCCAAAAGTTGCTCGACCCAGCAGTTCTCTGAAACAGTTTTCAGCCAGCACAGCAGGATTCTCTTCTTTGTCAGTTGCAGAAGGAGAAGAAGGAGGGCCTATGCGACTAAAAAAAAAAGGGAAATAAAGAAAAACACAAGAATTTTAACATTGGTTCTAATAAACAATACACTTTACTTTTTAGAAATGTTAAAATGGCATTTTCTTTTTATCCTCCAGCAAATATAAAGCTTAATTCTAATTTCATGAATTTAACACCACCAAAATGAATCATACACTCTTTCAAATTGAAGAAATAAACTTGGCTGTGCAAATTATTTCTAACAGAATGTCTCTTATACTCAGCAGCTTGCTACTCACTTTCATTCAACTTTTCTGTATTTATAGCAAAATCTTAGTAAGAACACAGGGCCCAGAGACCGTCTTTAGGTATCCTTCATTTAACTGTAAATGGGCAAAAATAAAGTGAAAAACTATGCATAGCCTGTAAATAAAAAATAAAATTTAAAAGCTAATTAGAGTATCTGTATACGTAGCTGTCTTCAGCAGACAGTATTCTATTCACATCCTGAAACATTATTTTAGGCTAATGAATTTATGAATAATAATTCTAAAAATGTATATGTGGCACTGGGATTATATCACGAAAAAACATAATTTCTTAAGAATTGACAACCAATGAGCTGTTTCTTGTATTTTACTTATGCTAATCCTGGACCTCAAGAGCCATAATTATGGAAAATGGGTTCCCAACTAGCTAGTGAACCTTTAAATAGTAAATATTTGAGATAAGGAAACTTTCACCTCAGCTACAGTGCCAAGAATAGGAAAATACAGATAGTACTAAAGTACATCAACTTTCACACTTTAGGAAAGGTTCCCAAAGCTGGAGGCAGTCACATCTAAGGAATTAAGCATGAATCCTTTCTGTAATTACTGTAAATTAACATCAATGTTTAAGTGTTACCATACAGTTATCAACTACCTATCATTTCTAGACTACTTTTATGTTGCTACTACACATATAATCACTAAAATCATAAATAAAATGTAAATTTAGAACTACAGATTGGATCACTTTTAAATTTGATTCAAATTTTTCTCCTCAAACTGCAAGAACCAGGAAAGTCAGGATAATAAGCCACTGGAGAATACTACTTCTGAAATATTTATTAATATATTATTTATATTAAATGTTAAAAATATTATTTATAATACTTTACTATTTGTTTATTAACTCATTATCTCTGTGTATGGTAACAAAAATGTGGGGGATAAGCATGCTTCTAGTATTTGAAAAAGTGGAATAAAGTACAGAATTCTAACTGCAAGTGAATGTTGTAGAGGAAAAAGAAAAAAAGAGCATAAATCCCAAAACAATATTCAATTTCAAAATATCTTAGGACAAATCAAATATGAACAGTGTCTACCCATTTTGTTGAAAAAATAAAATACAGTGTAGGTAGCTATTATTATCATTATCATTATTATTTTTGTTAGTTCTAACTCCCTGTGCAAAAGTATGCTGGATCTTTTAGATTAACAAAAGTAAAGTTATAATTTCTGTTTCTCACATTTGTAACTTTAAGTAGTATTCATTAAAACGGCAATTTGAATACTCAATAACTAGTGGCAAATAAACTGTAAACTTATTCTAAAAGAAAGGCTTAAGTGTATGAGTAATATTCTGTAGTCTACTATAAGCCTAATGGGATCACCACAGACTAAAAATTTTTTCAGAAAGGTACATATTTTTAAACTCATTTAACTTTATGAGACTACTTTTTACACAGTACTAAAGACAAAACATTCTTATCCTAGCAAACACACATACACATACATAAAAGTAACACAGTCTCAACACTAGCATCTTTTTAAATACCTGTCAACTTCTTCTATCTTTTGCATGTTAAACAGAAGGGATGGAACAATCTTATCCATATGCTGAGGTTCCCAAATGGTGGCCCGAAGTTCATCGTTAACTGTTTTGCGAACCACACCTTGAATACCTCTAATTCCAGCAATTCGTATCCTATTAAAAAAAAAAAAAAAAAGGAAGAAAATGAGCCATAAAAAAATTATTTGAATAAGTCTGTTTGCCTAAGAGAATGGATATCAAGTAAATGCTGTTATCTTATCCATAAAATATCTTAAAATAACACACAAGTCTAAGAAAGTAAATCTCAAAAATTTAAGAGACACAGAGATATGCCCCAAAAAGGCTTACTTTAAATATCATGTTCTTAAAATCAGCATTTAAAAAGTTAAAAGGACTCTAAAATACAGAAATATCTATTTTTCTATTTAAAAAAATCAACAACATAGATTTTCTTAAAATGATAATGATACTCCATTTCTTACCTAGAAGTCTTAAGAGCTGAGTGAAAACAGGATTTCCCTGTTCTGCACACCCTTCATGCTTCTTCAGACTTCTCACTGTTCCTCCCTAACAGCCCTTCAACTCCCTTAGTCCACCTAGACAGAAGACTAAGCTGGTTCTTTTAAAAGGTATTACAAATAAGAACTATCGAAATGGAGCACAGATAACCTCAGCCATATATATACAAATGTGTCTATAAACACATATACATTATCATATAATAATCAGATGTGACTTAAAATGTATCAATATAGTAGTGAGAGAATGCTGCCTTATCCTCCCATCCCAGATCACATCACCAAACCTCCTCAAGCTCTTCCTTATACTTCTTCAAAAAAGCAAAAGAAAATAAAAATCTATAGGTTCAAGAATGAGAAGAAAAGTGACTTGTAAACAGTTTCTAAAAACTGCAACAGAACAAAGTCTCAAACAGAGCTAACTTGGCGGCCCAATTAGTCTCAAAACATTTTCCTTCTGGTCAAATATGATGGCTATTTACTTCCTTTCTTTCTACTGTCTAAAATACTCACCAATTAGATGTTTATTCAGTTTACCTAGCATTGTCTTCCAAAAACAGTAAATAGGTTTAAAGAATAGAAGATATGGGGAGGGAGGTGACATTGCTTTACATCCCCATGGCAAAATAATGCAGGCATTCAAGAGTAGTAGATGGAGAATGGGAGGTGGCAGTAAAATGATACTGAACAGGTGAGAAAAATGAATTAGAAGACACAAAGGCAAATTTTGCCTATTTCAAAGCTGTGTCTATACATGCTACTTTTTAAAACATAAAGAAGATCTATGAGAGAGATTCTCGTGCAGCTATTACAGTGGGCAAGGCTAACACTGCTACAAAAGGTGCCTGCTTTACGTACCTGCTGCTACACCTTGGGTGATGAGAAGGCCAAGCACAAGGTGGCATGGAGCACATGAATAAACAAGATGAAACTTGTATCATGCCTTGTGAGACAGCAGCCTAAATGGTGCAGCAGCAGATAGTGGTGCCCTTGTTCAAGGTTAAAGGGTGGTGTCGGTGGTAACTACCAATAGCTACTATAGCTACACAGCTTCATCCTATCCAGATCTAACATCTAGACTAATCAGCACATTCTAGCCATGATCCCCCAAAAGGAATTCTACAGTTTCCCCATCAGTAAAACAGAACAACTGTCACATCTACAGCATAGAAATGTTGAGTAATTTAAATGAGTTAATTCATGTAAAGTGGTTAAACAATAATTGGCACACAGTAAGCACTCAGTGTTGGCTGTTCCCGTTTGCTGCTAACCATGATGAGGATGATGACAATGATGGTGGTGGTGGTGGTAATTTCTACCACAGCTGAAGTTTCTTTAGAAAATCAGAGTTACAGATTAAGATTGTGATGCTGCAAGTGGGAACCAGTTCTTCAAGGAAAATAAGAAAATCCTAATATTTACCAGCTCCATCTCCTACTGTCCATGTCCCCTGGAGTTCTACTTGATAAGAGCTTGGTAAAAAAAATAAAGGGACTAATGATTTATCTAAGTTAGAATTCAGAATATAAATATACTTAAAGAAAATCAAAAGGGCTTTTATTTAAGGTAAAGCAAAAATAAACTAAGTATTTTATATTAAATAGCATTTTAGTTTACTCATTTGTTTTACAGGAATTCAAATAAAATGTGGGTATTATGGAACTTCAAATATGATATAATATTGGAAAGACATAGAATTAGCAAAATGTACTGTAAGTCCTTTCATTGGTTTATAGAAAATTTCAAAGTTTTTCTTTGAAGCAGTAATGAAAAACAGGTAAAAATATATTCAAAAGACAAGATATTTCACTAGGGAATGATAAATATTTAGAAAAAACATACCACATTCCAGATATTTTCTATATTTTGAAAGAAAGCAAAAATGTTAAAATCTTGAAAAAATTGCCATTTTCTTTAGTTAATCTTTGTATCTTTTTGCTCCATTAAAAACTTACCATCAGCCTCTCAAGAGAGAGAACAGTCTCATAAACATTTAAAAAATATCCTTGAGAGAGAGAAAAAAGAATTTTCCTGGTGATGGAGACAAACAGAAAACTAATTCTTATAAGGTAATTGTAGTATTTTTCACCTCTGAGAAGGCTGTACACTTCGTAATAAAGGAATAATAGCAGGACTCTAAATGGCCTATACTCTACTGAGCAAAAATTATACCAGCAGCATCACAGACAAAAATAAATCTTATACCTGAAAATAACTATTTAATCACCTTTAAACTTTCTTTCTCCAATTAAAATAACATTTATACTTATTTTTGTTTCATGTAAACCAGCACTGTAGCTTGTATGCTTTAACTAAAAGCTAGTTATATTTCTGTACATTCCTTTATTTATTTTAAAATAAAAGTAAAAATTATAAAGCATTCTATATCTTGATTATCAACTGCCCACAGTAACTTTAAATCCTGGCAGATTTCTTGGTTTTTAGATGTAAGATAGTAATGCTCAAATTACTTTCTATGTTTCCCAAAGTCATTTTGACTTTAATTCTTAACTTTAAAGTTTCTCATTTCTGTATTTCTCATTCTATCCACCTACAGATTGAGTTTATAAAATATTTGACTCCAGATTTTTAGTAGGATACATCTAGAAGAAATATTTAAAAATGTCCAAGATAGTTGTCATGACAACCTCAGATGGATAGTGATTCAGTAATATACATTCATTCCATTGATCTACTTATTCACTCAAAAAGTACTAACTGAGAGCCTACTATGCACCAGGCCCTATTCAAAGTACTGGCAATACTGCAGTCCTCAAACCAAAGTCCTCACCCTCCTGAATTTATATTCCATAGAGGAGCAAGAAACAAAGAGATACATGATAAAAAGATAAAGATAACTAGGGATGGAATGAGAAGGGTGACATTAATAAAGGGTGGCTGGGGAGGGTTCTTGTGATAAGGTGTCATTTGAGCAGAAATCTGAACAAAGTGAGGTAACAAGCCATGTGGGCACTAGAGAATTGTTTTTTGCACCAAGACCAATGTGTCCAAAGGGCCTGAGGAGAAGTGTGACTAAAGTGTTCAAGAAATGGCAAGGAGATCCACGTGGCAGGATTAGAGCGCAAGCAGGAAGAAATGATAGAAGGACAAGATCTGACAGAGTAAGCAGAGCATGAGGAGACATTCTAGGCAACAGTAAAGACTGCATTTTAGTGAGCTGGAAAGCCATTCTCATTTTGCTACTTCAGTCAGTAATTATAGCTTCTAACAGCAATGGAAAGCCATATTTCAGCCATATTCTTGTTTCCTCTGGTAATCATTATGTAACATATAAACACAATATTCATCTCTAAATTACTTACTATAGATCATAAAGTAAAATAATACATACTCTGTTCGTATTTCTGGATCACTATGACAGGAATGACACATGGCACTGAATCGAGACACAAAAAAGTCATAACGTCTGTGATAGGAAGGTGTGTCTTCTTCAATATTTGCAAATTTGACAAACTAAAAAACACAAATAATATAAACAATATATATTACCTTCTTAAAAGTGTGGACCAAATACATTTAATTTCATACACCGTCATATTAACAAGCAATATAAAAATAAGAAACAAACAAAATATCAAATATGACATTAATACAGAAGAAACTTTCTTTTCTTGAGATAGGGTCTTGCTCTGTTGCCCAGGCTGCAGTGCAGTGGTGAGCCTTGAATTCCTAGGCTCAAGTAATCCTCCCACCTCAGCCTCCTACGGCGTCAGGACTACAGGCATGCACCACCAAACCTGTCTAATTTTTTGATTTAATTTTATTTTTGTAACAATGGGAGTTTCGCTGTGTTGCCCAGGCTGCTCTTGAACTCCTGGCCTCAAATGATCCTCCTGCCTTGGCCTCTCAAAGCACCCTGATTAAAGGCATGAACCACTGCACCCAATCCAAAAGAAACTTTTTAATAATAAACTTTTAGAAAACAAGAGGAAGAAAAAAGAAGAAACGTAATCTATGCTTTCCCTAAATCTTAATCCATAATAATGACAATGTATTTATCATTGCACAAAGAACACAAGCTTTGAAGTAAGAAAGGCCTAAGATTGAATCCCCCTATTATATACAGCATTACTTCACTGTGTCTTTGGACAAGTTATTTAGCTGTAATCCCTCATCTATAAAATGAAAATAGTATTTCTAAGTTTGAAGGGTTTTCGAGAATCATGACATAATTAATACATGTAAAATATCTAGCATATACTATATTATTTCTTTAAAAACATGAACCAATGTTGCATGACATTAACATGTATTACCAATATTATTATTTATAACAAAAATTATGTTATTTATTGATATTATTTAACATTTTTCTTTCTTGAATCAGTAGGTATACAGCTGTACTATATTATGCTCCACACTTTTCTATATTTGAAACAGTTTACAATAAAAAAAGAGGTAAAAACAAAAAGTATCTAGCACAGTTTTTGAAACAAAGGAGAACCGAAATACATTGCATCTATTACTGTCATATTGAGTTGGCATTAGTATGAAGAGGAAAATGTCAACAAATTAAACTGTAGGAAGACCATTAATAAATTTTAAATTAGTACTGATCGTGCTCGACAACATAAAGCACTCAGCACCACTAAGAAAATTAGACCACCAGTAAATACTAGGTAATTAATGTTGGTCAAGATAATATGGCATTTCATTTAATAAAATTCACTCAAATTAAGGTAAGTAACTGGGGAATTTGGTCTTTTGGCCAAACGACTCATTAAAACAATCTAATGGCATTGCTGGGTGAAAGTAAAGACATTTCTGGAAATGTACACTAAAATTCTCCCCCTAGCTAGTAAGCCACTTCCCCAAAACGTTCCTCACCTAATGTAAACAAAACAGGAGAAGCCTAAGTAGCCACCTTGTCTGAAACTAAGCTTGTCACATCATCTAAATGCATTTGGAAATACCCAATATATTCCTGCTGAAGTAAGTGAAAAAAATCATATTAAGAGTTTTGAATGAGGGCTCATTTAATGCTCTTGCTACCAGTAATAACTAACAGTGCTATGCACTCTTTCAAGAGCTTAATATATATCAACTCATGTCACACAGCAATCCTGTGAGATTGGTATTCTCATTATCCTCATTTCACAGATGAAAAACTGAGGTAAAGAGAGAATAAATAACTTGCTCAAGGTATACAGTTAGAAAGCGGTACAGGCGTAGTTCAAACTGGGGTGGTCAGACTCTGAAATCCGTACTGTCAGCACCTCGTATACTTCCTCTTCCTGTCCTATACCAGAAAATAATTATCCATAAACAATAGCAGGTAATATATGATTCTGTTATTTTTTTAATTAAAACTCTGAATGGAAACATACAGTATTCATGTAGGTTGAACGCCTTAAAGCTTCTCAGAGAAGAAGTTGGAACTGAAAGACTGAAGGTGATACAATGAAACTAAAGACAAGAGAATAAATATTACCACTGTATTTTCTTTTTAAAGTAGGTATGCTTTCCCCAAACTTATTTTAAGGGACAATGGTTCAAGATAGAAGAAAATGAATGTGGCGAGCAGAAATAGTTCAGAAGCAGTCTAAAAAAGAATAAACATACAAAACCTTAACTTCTATGGTAAATTTATTTTTAAGACCATTCAAAGACCATTCAAGACCATTCAAAGGAAAAGAATAGCCTTTTCAACGGATAGCAATGGCATAGTTAAATATCCACATGCAAAATGTGGATAAAGCTGAATGCTGAATTCATACCACATACAAAAGCTAACTCAAAATGGATTATTAAATACAAACCTAAACTGTAAAACTCTTTAGAAGAAACTATAGGAGTAAACCTTTGTGATTTTGGATTAGGCAATAGTTTCTTAGATATGAAACTGAAAGCATACCTGTCCAACACCCCCCCAACACACATACACACCCACGCACACCAACAACAAAAGGAAAAAAAAAAGCAACTGGACTTCATCAAAATCAAAACTTTAGTGACTCAAAGCATACCATGAAGAAAGTGAAAAGACAAAACCATAGAATTGGAGAAGATATCTGCAAATTATGTATCTGATAAATAACTCTTACCAAGAATATATAAAGAACTTTTACAACTCAACAATAAAAAGACGATTGAAAAAAGGAGGGAAAGGATTTGAATAGACATTTCTCCAAAGAAAATATACCCAAGAGGCAATGAGCACATGCAAAGTTTTACCATTAGTCATTAGGGAAATGAAAATCAAAACCACAATGAGATACCACTTCAGACCCTCTAGGATGGTTAAAATAAAAAAAGATAGACAATAACAAGTACTGATGAGGATGTGGAGAAACAACACTCACATGTTAGTGGTGGGAATGTAAAATAATGCAACCACTTTGGAAAACAGTTAAACACAGTTACTACATGACCCAGCAATTACACTACTAAGTATATATCCAAGAGAATGAAAAACACACATCCACACAAAAACCAGTACACAAATCTTCATAGCAGCATTATTCACACTAGCCATAAAAATGTAAACAACCTTAATTAATGAAAAGGCATGAAACTCAAAAGGAATGTAGGACACAAAGTTAGTGTTGCAATAAAAGACCAAGAGAAAATAAAAATGACAGGTATGCATTCATTTACAGGCAGATATTCTATTATGATTAGTTAATACCACAGATTTCACAAGAAACAGCAGAAAGAGTGAGAGGCAAAGTATTCTAATTATCTTAATTTGTGTTGACTGTTCAAATGCCCTATTCAGGGAATTCGTCTTTACCAGGTAAAGTCATTCTAAGAAGCAATTAATTCTAGATATGCTAATTAAGCATAAATTTAGCTACAAAATAGTTTTACTCACAGAATTCGTTCCAAGAACTTGAAGCTTTGGTTCCCCCGATTCCAGCAGCTTTGCCACCATATGAAGAAAGCTTTCTACAAATGGCTTAATGCTTTGAGAATGGCAAGCCATGAGAAGTTGGTCCAGTGCCTCCATAGCTATCAAAACATACCTACATGTAGGAGAAAAAGAACGTCAAAGCATTTCTACCTTTCTTAATTCTCCTAAGTGCTTTCCATTGGAAGAACTGAAATAATTCTATTGAAATACACTGAAGAAAGAAATGCAAATTTAGTAACTCCTAAGTAAAATCTTAATTCTCACACAGCACTAATATCTTGGTTATAAAATAATCCTTCGATCAAAGTATACAGAAAATATGCACTGTATTCCTCCATTTTCTCCTTAATTATCTGAGCTTCTTTAACATTAACTTTGTGTATATTTTTCTTTGTAAATATGGACATTTTCTATTTTCCAGACTTTTAACCATATTTACTTGTATCTGACCCAAAATAATTATTACGGTAATGTGACAATTTCCAATATAATCTACTTATATGTCTAAATGTGAGTAGATAAAACACTATCAGCAACAGAACATTATTTTTAAAATCTCATAAATATTACTTTACAATTCATCAGATTTTACATCTTGTACTTAAAATTCAGAGAGATACCAGAGGCTAGGAAGGGCATGTAAGTGGGGCTGGGGGGGCCGGGGTGTGGAGGGATGAAGAGAGTTTGATTAATGAATACAAACTTACAAAATCAGACAAAAGAAGTAGTTCTAATATTCGGTAGCACAGTAGGGTGACTAAAGTTAGCAACAATGTACTGTATATCTCAGAGTAGCTAGAAAAGGACTTGAAATGTTCCCAACACACAGAAATGATAAATTGAGGTGATGGATAGCCCAAATACCCTGACTTGATCTTTACACATTCTGTACATGTGACAAATACTCACATGTACTCCATAAATATGTAAAATATCATGTATCAATTTTTAAAGGGTAAATCTAAACAATAATTAAAATTCAGTCTTTAGACACTTTTCCTTCAACAATCAACCATAAAGCTATGTGTGCCATGACTTACTAAAATATTCTAAGTGGTAACAATGCAAAGGTACAGAAAGCTAATATATCACTTGGAGAACAGAATACTCCTGAAAACTTGGATCATAAAATGACAGAATGAGAAAGTATTTATAATCCAAATTGCAAAGTTATTCTTGTGCGAGCACAGAGACTATAGTAGGACGGTAGACTTCTATTTATCAGTAGGAGTGTAGCTAGCACAGTGCCAAATCAGCATGCTTCAATTTCCTGGGCCTTGATATCTAAGCCTAACACGGTTCTTTCTTATTACTCCTCTGAGAGGTAAAACTGAAGCTGTGTGGAAAAAAAAAATCATCTGGTTAACAGGATCTTTCTGTTTGTTTTCAATTTAGAGATTGATTTTAAAATTACAGTATTGCACTGATAGACTAAGTGAGTCAATTTCTACTATTTCCCATTAGAAAAGTCTCAAAAATCAATAATCACAAGCTAAAGGTAACTCAGTAAACTAACATAGTCTACTCACAAAACCTGACCACCAGGAAAGTAATAAAAGCCACAGCATCTATCAGAGTATTACACATTTCTTTGTATAATACTACATGTTTTATCCTCTATATATTATCTTTGTTGCACTAAACGGCAAAATAATCTATAGAATGATTTAAAAGTCTAGAAAGAATTTTCCAAAGATATTATTTTAGCAGCCATTAGTTTCCTTACCCAGAACGATGTCTGACAACATCCCTGCTCAACCTTTCTGCCAGGTAAGAACCAATTCGATCCAGTTTCTCTGGAGCAGATACTGCATAAAATGTCAATTTCTCCATATCAGCTTTCACAAGGCCATCCTAAAAATAATAAGAATAACAAGATAGATTATATTTTCATGCTTATCATATTTTTAAGTGTTGCCTGCTTTACATTTTCCCTTTTTGGATTGGGGATTAAATGATATTTATGAATAACCCTTCTGTATATAACCTCCTTAGCGCTAATATTCACCATGATGGATACATAGAACTTTCAAAACATTTTTTAAAATGCCCCATTTACACAAAGCACAAACAGTAAATTAGACTCTTAACATCTTCCTTTATAGAGACATAGCTCAATTATCTGTAGTATATAGGGAATGGGATATAGATGTAAAAAGATTTCAAACAAAATTTGTTTCAGTTTAAAAATGTGAAATGTTTATTAAGCTTGTTTTACTCATTTACTTACATGATAGTCAACATATGGCTTTTTTAATGATTCAGAAGTCAGTGATATCATTATAAGTTTTTGTTGTAATTAATAAACGAGAAGGTATTCAGAGCTGTAGAATCTATACTTGTTCAACATATTTAAAAAGCAACAACAGGTCCCTGATATGGGATTCTAAAATGGTCATTTGTCGCTGCCTTTTAAAAGATGATGTGCAACAGGTGCCTACATTCTCTCCAATTACCACATAAGTTTCTTGGCCATATATAACCCAAGTAAGTATTGCTTAGGAATATTGGAATAGGTGAGAAGAGAAAAAGGGAAAACTATGTTAGAATCTACAACAAAAATCGTGTAGATGTGTGTTTTCACCTTCAACTGGTCCCTCAATGTTCTTTGGCTATTTTGCTGTTTTCCTAGTTGAGTCACCACCTCATATTCTGCACCTACTCCGTTTTCCTCAAACTTGCTACTTTGTGCCTCTCTCCTCTCTCAGACAGCAAATGAGCTCTTCTCTTTCTCGGAGAAGGTGGAAGCCATCAGATTAGTATTTACTGGCAAAACATCCCTGCTTTCTCAATGCCTGCTAGGCCAGTAGATCTTAACCAGGGGTAACTGAGCCCCTCCAGGGCAATGTCTAAAGGCATTATGGGTTGTCATAGACAGGTGAAGGTGGGTACTGGGATCTAGTAGGTAGAGGCCAGGGATGTTTCCAAATATCTCACAATGCACAAAATAGCCCCCAAAAGTAAGTAATTATCTAGACCAAAATGTCAACTGAAGCCTAAGCTGAGAAACCCTGCCCTAGGCAAAGTGAAGGAATCTAGTTTTCCTGTCTATGAGGAATTGGTTTGCCTCTGCTCTAGCTGTCTTCCACACACAGTTCCATGATCTGGCTCTATCAGTTAGCCTCTCTTATTCCTAGTTCTTCAACCTCTCCCTCTGTATCAGTTCCTCCACATCATCATTTAAATACAATTGTGTCTCTCCTATATTTTTAATTCCTTACTAATTTCATTGAGTGATAATCCATATATAAATAACTGCATTGTCTTACAGTATATAATCGGAAATGTGACAGTTGTATATATCTGTGAAGACACTGCTAAAAATAAGATACGGGTTGGGGATACCTCATCCAAAATGCTTGGGATCAGAGGTGCTTTCAACTTTGGCTATTTTTTCAGATTTTGAAATATTTGCAGATACTTAACCACTTAGATAACCCTAATTCAAAAATTCAAAATCCAAAATGCTCCAGTGAGCATTTCCTTTGAGTATCATGTCAGTGCTCAAAAGTTTTGGATTTCAGAGCATTTCAGATTTCAGATTTTTGGATTAGGGATGTTCAACATGTACAGAACATTTTCATCATTTACAAAAGATTCCCCATGTCCTCTGCAGGCCACTTCTCCCTCTTCAGGCAACCATTGCTCTGCTTTTTATCACTATGAATCAGCATGCATCGGACATAAACAGAATCACACAGTTTACAAATAATATCTTTTGTGCAAGATTTCTTTCACTCAACTCATCTCTTTGCCCAGGAACCCTTCTCCAGTTCACATGGATAATTCCTACTCATCCTTTAGGTCTTAGCTTCCTCCAAAAATGTGCTGCGCCCTCCCAACAACCCCCGCTTCAAGTTTGGGTGAGATGTTCCAACTATATGTTCTTTTAGCTCACAGTACTTATCTCCACTATTATATTTTATCAGATCATCTTTTCATTCATTAAACAAATGAATGCCAACAATGTGCCAGGCACTGTGATAGACATTAGGAAAGCAACAGTGAGCAAAGAGCTGCATTAACTCATTTAGTCTTCATGAGAACATTATGAGACTGCTACTATTTATTACTTCCATTACATGATGAGAAATCAAGGGACTTGCCCAGGATCATCTGGCTACTAATTTTAAGAAATTGTTTATCTGTCCCCCTTACTAGATTTCTCTTTCAAGGCAGGGACTATGACATGTTTGCTTCTGCATTTGGGTACCTACTGTCTGACCCATTATGGACATATCACAAGATGTTTGTTTTAATAAATTAAAAATAAGAAATATGGCAAATTGAGTAATGTTTGCCATACATATTCAAGGTTCATGCAGATCTTTTCCTTTTTAAAAATCTAACTTTAAAGACTGCTATTTAAATAAATCTTATACAAATCCTTGCCAAAAACAAGGATTCTTTCTCTAATTTACCTGTGGTCATTTCAATGATCAAGTGTACAAAGCTCCCTCACTGCCTATGAGTTAAAGTGACTAAAGAGAGGTCTTCCTTGTCATTCACAATCCTCTAAAATCTAGCCTCCACACCTTACCTTCAGTAACCATATGTCCTAGACTTCTCAGGAAAATAATTATTTGGATATTCAGCGTACTAACTGATAACATTTGAAATTTCAAATGAGAAATCATGGTCAACACGATTACCACCCTTACACTCTAAAATTAGGTTATATAAACCTTTGCTTGAAGTCTGATGGATAACTTGCTCTAGGCTTCAAATATATGTCTTGCTTTCCCATGTCTTTTCTCTTTCCCCTCACTTGCAATAAAGAGACGAATCTTGTCTACCTCTCCAGATGGTATACATCCTTCAAAGCTCAGTAAATCTCATTTCCTCTGTGAATGCTTCCTGGAGGTTCCCAACCCACAGTGATACCTCCTTGCTTTAGAGGCAAAAACTTTCCACCTGATTTACTCAGCATTTTACTGACGATTTATGCACTGTAATTTCATATTTAGTATGTTTCTGCTTTATGTCAGTTACTGCATGGAAAGGTCCTTAAAGGCAGGTACTGTATCTTACGATTTTTAATATGTCACAAATTATCCAGGACATCTGGCAGTCAATAATATTTAATTGATTAACCTCCTCTACATAACTGAAGGTTTAAACAGATTTGGTTAAAAATAAGATACATCAACATTAAGTTAATGTTAAGATAACCAAAAGTTTTATACAGGTTGTTACATTTTAAAATAAAGCAAATTGTGGAAGTCAAAAGTCATGTAACTTTTTTTTTGTTCATATTCATTTAACATGAGACTACAGAAGTCTTAGAAAGGTTGAGGCAATGTGAAACAAAATCACCCCAACCAGTTGCTTTGAAACCAGTAATCTTCACAAATAAAATAATTGTTATTAAAAAATTAAATAGTATTTAAGCAAAAAGAAAAACTCTGCCTGAAACCATCTTTCTTTACCTCTCAGTTTTCTTCTAAAAACTGTGAGGTCAATCCCTATTTATTCGTTGGATCTTAGCTTAGATTTTATCTCCTCCAGGCTTTCTTCTCAATCCAAATTGGGTATCACTCCTATCTACTCCAGTAGCAGCCCGTATTCATTAGTCTAGTACAACATTTTTTCACAACAAATTGTAATTACCAATTTACTTATATATGTGCATAATGAGAGTAGAAAACCTTCTCTCTGTTCACAGTGGTATCATGAGCACTTAGTTTAATCTGGTACTGGTTCATAAATTAATGAACATAAATTAATGAGACAGTGTTACTTAAATTAGACACTACATAAACTATAAAAGAACATCAACTGTCCATTTTTCCAGATTTCTGCCTAATCTACTAAAAGGATCTGAAAACTAGACAAGCAAGCATGAGTCATTTAAGAGTTAAAAAAAGGAAAAGTACAAAAAAAGTAGTACAAATGATGAGATGTAGGGGTAAAAGTAGAGAAATGAAATTAGGGAAACCTTAGGGAGGTCAGCGGGGGGCAGAATGGGTCAGCAAAGAGAAGGATCAGTAGATGTAGATCAAATTACTTTTGGATCTTCAGGGAATATGTTGTCCACCAGGCGTTTGTAGCGAGGACGCAAAGCGGAACAGCAACAGCATACTCCTGTATAAAAAAAAAAAAAAATCAAGAAATACAGAGATTATTAATATTGTAAACTGACCTGGAAATTCAAGTTTCTGAATATTAACAGGCGATATAAAATACAAAATTCAAACTGCCACAAATAAAGATATACAAATGTAATCAGGGATTAAGAAAAGAGTAAGTTAAATTTCTTATCCTTACTCCAAAGACACGCAGCTTCTAAGGATTTTTGTTTAACATGCATACACGTCCTGCCAAATTCATCTGACAAAGTGAAAACGACGTCCATGCCCCCTTTACCTCCTTTCTGATGTCATCTTCCCACAACTCCGTCATACTCCCACCCACCTGTCGCAATCCACTCTACGCCAGCCACAGTGGTCTCCCTGCCAATTCTACCTAGCTAGGCCCCCTCCTTTGGATCTTAGCTCTCACTGTTCCCTCTGCCTGGGGCACGCCCAAGTATCTACTAACAGCTGTAATAACTCTGTCACCTTCTTCAATTCTTCACCTAAGCCTCTCTGACCACCCTTACCCTGCTCTACCTTCTTTTTCCCATAGCACTTATCACCTAACACATTAAATAAACTTTCTATTGTGGCTACTGGTCCTCATCTGTGCACCCTCACCAGGACATAAACTCAGATGAAGGCAGGGATCATTGTTTTGCTCACTGATGAATTCCAAACAACTGAAATAATCTAAAAATACTTCAGATCAACATTAATACTGACACTGAAATAAATTAAAACCAAATATGTATTAAGCACACAAGCACTGAGCCAGGTCCTGTATTGCAATGATGAAAGAAGCTTATAACCTGAAAAGAAGATTAAGTGAGTACTTAGTGAACACTAATGCAAAGCCAAATATAGTAAATTCAAATTGTTAGAATGGCAGAGACTGGCCATACGTCTAAAAAACAAGTCCTAATGCTTCAAGTTTTCTATCAGAATGGGAAATGTTGTTATTTTCAATAAGAAAGATTCTTAATAAGCTATTAAATTTCACATTTCTGATGTTATACACTCTACACTGCTTTTAGTTTAAAAAAGCTTGAAATATAAATGTAACCTTGGAATGCAAACAATGTCCAGTTCCCACTTTTGGGAAGCTTAGGTTTACCAGGAGAGACAGATAAGCAAATGGTGAAGTGTCCAGTGGACGGCCACGGGTTAAAGAACATGGGTTTGGAACAGATAGATCTGAAGCGAATCAGTCTCCCTCTGTCCAGCTGGGCTGGGTGGGTTGTCTTACTACACTCAAGTTTCCCCATCAGTAAAAACAGATGTAATAATGCCTTCTTCATAATAATGAGAATTAAATAAAATTGTATATAAAGCTCTTATTAAGCAAACACTCAATAAAATGGTAACTATTATTAGTAATGCAGTAAGAAGAGTAATCAGGGTAAGCAGATGATGATCAAGGGCCCTTAAGATAGGATTCCCAATAGCATAAAAACCTTTGTTGTAAACCCATAATTTAAAAATCACAAATTTTACATACGGTTCACAACCGTAACTATATCAGTAGCAGAAGGGACAATTACCACTTTCTGAAGATGACATGTGCAGCACTGTACTAAGGATGTTACAACATTATTCACTCACTCCTTTAGCAATTCTCTGAGGGTCATGATCATCTCCATTGGATAAACGAGCAGACCAGCTTAGAGAGGCCAATTTTGTCCAGTAACACCCAGCTGGGGAGGATCTGAGGAACTGCAATTCCAACCCAGACCTGATGACTTCAAAGAGTAACTGCCACACTAAACTCAAGTACCAGCAAATTTCTAAATTATTTTAAATATTTTAGCTTTCTATAAATCATGACCAATGAAAATAATTGCAGAAATGTATGTGCCTAACAGATGAGGGATGCATTGTCACATAGGGAAATAAATGATCACCGTGAGTTTCTCGGGAAGGTCAACACAAAACAAAAACATCTTTTTGACCACTTACCAAAAATAAAAAACAACCCACTATAAAGAAGGCATATAGATTGAAATTTTTAATTTACAATTTCAGGTTTTTATAAAATTATATCAAAGACAATATAAGGTTTAAATAATTGGCAATAATAATAAGCACAAAAGAAATTACTATATAGACTTTTAAATAAATAAGAATACTCTACTTATAAATATCACAAGTAAAATAAAATCATTGGACCTACTCAAGTATAGAAATGTAGCTGACTCCCTTGTTGAAGTAAATTCATAAGGCTTTTCGAGTTCAGCCGCAGGTACCTGAACATAGTCCTTCATGTTGTATCAGACTACTTTCTGGTCGATCTTTCTGACTCTAGATCCTCTTCTTACCTGCTGTTGAGGAAGTGCCTAGTTCACTTTACTTCTAATTAATTAGCAGAGGGCACAAAAGTACTGGAACTTATCTAACTTGTCACTGACATCAAATATAAAGCTATCAAGAACTTGATAATATCCATATCAAGTTCTGCTAGCAAAGCCAACTAGCTTAAATAAGATACTATTAAAGTACTTACATTGCTGGCTTCATAAAAGTAGGTTTTTCATACAGGTTAAATAAGAAAGCAAGCCTACATATACCCCCTTTCCTTAAGGCATTCTTTCAGTTCCTCCTCATCCTAGCTTCTGATCCCTTCCAACAAACTCACTTAGGTCCTAAAACTAATATATTTGTGACCTCATCCCAAATTCCTCTTTCCCAAAAGCAAAAAAAAGAGGGGGATGAGCATATCACAGAAAGTCTCCAACAACTGGCACGTCTAAGCAATATAAATTATTCCTTTAAATTTAATTCTATATTGCAGTTCTTTTCTCCAATTGTATGTCTAGTGCCTTTGCAGTATTTGTCATCTAGGAAATATTCAATAAATACTATTATCAGTAAAAATAAATTAATTCCAGCATATAAAGGAGAAAGTTATCCACTATTCTCCCCCTACAGCATGTAGCATTCAGAACTCTGATTATGATACATTAGAAAAATATGAAATAGGAAGGCTCAAGTGGGGTAACTTTGGGAAAATAGAATTCAGACACAGTGGATAAATTATAACCAAAAAAGTGCCAGGCTGAATATTATAGTAGTGTACACATAGGCTCAGGAGTAATCTATTCAATACAGCTCTCTAGGCCTTAGTCAGTGAACAGGAAAATCCTACTACCTACTTCTCACAGTTAAGGGTATTAAATTAATAATACATAAAAAGTGCCTAGAGTGTAGAAGCCACCTAAACACACTTAATATGCTCTTTTTTTATGAGCAAATTTTACATACTCCTGAAGTAACACTTCTTTAAAGACATCTGTGACATTGTGAAATACATATTTAGTCTTCCCATTTCCTAACAAATAGCTTCTGATAGCCTTAGGTTCTCCAAAGTGCTAAGCGTCATTGTGCATACTAATGAGTTGACTGATGGCTGGGGGCTCAAGGATAGCTTCCGGTGTGGGTTAGTCACAGTAAAGAGCAAGGCATAACCAGAGGGTGGGGACTTTCAGCCATAACCCCTAACCTCTAAGGATGTGGGACGGGCTGACAGTTAAGTTGGTTATGGGTGGCCAATGATTTAAATCAATCACGCCTTTACAGTGAAGTCTCTATAAAAAACCCAAAAGGACTGGGTGTGGATGGGCTTCCAGGTGGCTGGACACATGGAAGTTCCTGGAGGGTGACTTACCTGGAGAGAATATATTTGGAAGCTCCTCACCCCTTCTCTGATACTTGGACCTTTGTATCTTTTCCATCTGGCTGTTCATCTGTCTCCTTCCTAATCCCCTTTATAATAAACCGGTAAATGTAAGTAAAGTATTTCCCTAAGTTCTGTGAGCCACTCTAGCAAATTAGCTGAGCCCAAGAAGGGAGTGTGGGAATCATCCTGATTTATGGCTGGCAGAAGCACAGGAAAAACAACCTGGGGCTTCCAGTTGGCATCTTGAGAGAGAGAGAGACACAGAGAGTGTGTGTGTGTGTACGTGAGAGAGACTGTGTGTGTGTGTGTGTGTGTGTGTGTGTGTGCTGGCGGGGAGGGGGGCAGGGGGGAGGCAGTCCTGTGAGACAGAGCTGTCAACCTGTGGGCTGTGACACTACCTCCAGGTAGATACTGCTAAGAACTGAATTACGTTAGAGGACACCCAGCTGGAGAACTGCTGGCTCGGTGCTTGGGGAAAATCTCCCACACATTTGATCACAGAAGTGTTCTGTGTTGTGACAGTATAGGAGAAGAAGCAAGCAGTTTGTTTTTTCTACTCGATACCCCAAGAAAATTCTTCTCCTTTGCTCCCCTAACATCATTCTCATATAGATTCAGCAATGCCTCTTAGTCCTTAAACAGCAGTGATGCCAATTGACCTCTAGAAGAGGAAACATCCTCCTCCTTCAATAATGAGGTATTACAGCTAATTTCCAATCCATCCTGCCTCAAAGAGGCATTCATAGAAGGACTTGAGCAGCTGCATAGAGAACCTCAAGGTGAAACTGATAGTGGGGATTAGGCAGGCAGGCACTCAAAGGTACTAGGAGAATTCTGAATACTGGGAACCAATATAGTAAGTGGTTGGTTGACCAGTGAGTACTTCTGGTTTGTGACAACATTTGCTTTCCTATGCAATTCTATAAATTTGGGGACTTGGAGCATTAAAAAAAAAAAAAAAAAAAAAAAAGACCCCTTTAAAAATAAGCAACTTCCACTTTCAAGGGACTATATTATTCAATGATAATTTAACTGGAAATATTGATGTCTCAACCACTAACTGCCACCATGCCACTGACTATACTTGGGATAAAGCTATCCTCCAAAACAAAAATGCTAAGTTAGTAACACTGTCACTGGAGATGAAGAATGCTTAGATTGTATTAATATTATGGAAACCGACTGTATGGCTTTGAATTAAGTGTGTTTCATAATCTATAAAAGCATACAATAATAGTATCTATACCTTCTATGTAGCAATTCCCTCATTTAATTCTAACATGTAACATAATAGAAATTCACTGACATATGTATGGCTCACTAGATTTCATACT